TTTCTAGTTACCGATTCAATTAGAGAGTAGTCCGCCAATTAAATCGACTTGGTCGATGCTACGATATAACGATACTCGACGAAATTTTTTTACCTTCGAAAGCTTCTATGAATTTTCTTGTAGAAGAAACGATTTCATGCTCGGCCGAGTTTAGATTTTCAACTCTTTTCGTGATGAAAGCTGTTAAAAAGGAAAGGGGCGAAGGTGGTTCGAAGGGAAAAGAGTGGTTTCGATTCACGGAACGAAGTCGAATTTTCATCGTTTTCGTATCAGCTTTTGCCCCTCTCTATCCCCCCCCTCTCGATTACTGTAAATTCATCGCACGATAATATGCTCGAAATGTTATCAATATCCGTATCTTCGATGCTTTTTGATCGCGCGGGATAATCTTTCACTACGAAATCTAAACGCAAATCGATCAATTCCGCTCGTATATTCGCTGGTTATACTTACCATACGAGAAACCATAATGGAGACTTATGGTTTTTTTTTTTTTTTTCGTTTCGGGAATCGCGCTTAAAATATAAAAGAATCGATATCGGCAATTTCGAGGATAGAAGGTCAATGAATTATCGAAAGGTTAAATTATATTTAAACCCCATGGAGAAATCGTTAATTAAATACGTTTAATTTACTTCGAAAGATTGACACGTACCGATTTCGCCATGTTATTTTTTTTTTTTTCCTCACGCGCAAAGCGCGGTTTATTATTATATCGGTCGAATCGCATTTCAATTTCGAGCCGAGCCGAACCTAGACACTCGCGAAACAGAAATTTCGTAGCTAATAATGCATTATATTATTATATATCGAGCCCAGTTTAAAATAACTAGCCAAGTTTGTTTAATAAATCAACATCGAAGTGCATCGATAGCATACACGAGACAAATTCACTTTTATCAAGAGAGCGCGGGATGCACCACCGCCGACTATATGTATTATATATCAACGTGACGATCAACTAATTATCAAACCCGACCCAAATCGTGTCAACATTAATCGTGGAAACGGTCCCCGATGCCGAGCTAACAGCCTACGTAAAACGAACTTGATTTACAATTTATAAACACAAATGTAACGTTGAATTAGCTAAATTATTTTATCGCCCGCCGCAAATTCCATTTTATCGCTTTTCGTTTTCACGGCGGCCACCGCC